TCTCTCTCTCTTTGCCTGTTCTGGCTGTGCCACTGCCTCTGCCTGTGCTTCTTGCCTGCCAAAACCTGCCAACTTCTCTTCCCTCCAAGTCTCTGTCCAAGTCTCCGGAGAATTCGAGTGGCTTCTTCCCAGCGGAGAACCCATCGCCGAGGAGACACGGTGCTTTCGAATCACTGCACGACCTCCTCCTCCTCCTCATTCTGTCGCCACGCGCAACGATTCGGTCGATTCGGTTCACCAAAGTGCACATGCACAGCATCCGATCAATATGTGATCGATCATCGCGCGCGCGACAGAGATATTCCTTGCAGAACGCAAACGTCTCTGCGAGAATCGTGGACGTGGACGACGCAGTCGCTTTAGACACGAATGCGTGACGAATCGTTGAAATCTTCCGAATTTACCAGTATTTCGAGGGAAACAACTTCAACAACCTTTGTCACACTTGTCGATCTTCTTCTCCAATCGTCGTTTCATCGACGTCGGTTAAATCAACATGATCCTCGATTAAATCCTCTTCTTCACAGCTGCTATTGCAATTGGTCGGAATTTGGAAAGTTTTCCTTCCCTCCCTTGATCGTTTCGATCCGAAGGAAACACATCTCGTAGCGAGATGAAAAGCAGATGCATTGGTCGGCAACGCATGAAGTATGGATCGTACGGTTCTGTCGAGGTTATGTTTAATTCGTCTCTTCTTTTAACAGAGAGTCGCTTTCGAAAATTGGAGAACCAAATTGTACCAAGTTGTACGGTGTTTGTTCGCGAATTTTTCTTTCTCTCCTCTTTACGTCACCAAGAATTTCAGCAACTGAATAACCGTTTCGAGCAACGTCTCGCACGTATTTATCGCGAGCGCGAAATTCACCACCGCACCGCATTTCGGAACGGACATTTTCAATCTTTCGCGCCTAAGCAGGGTATCAAAAAACCAGATCTAGCTTGATACATTCGAGGATACAGAAAAACGTGCCAAGTCAAAGCCGAGTCGAGCCAGCTGAAAATCGTCGGGTCAATTTATGGTCAATTCAAACTGACGTTCGAACTACGAAATAAAATAATTCTATAAATGCATCGTTAATTCCAGCGAGTGAAAAGAAAGAAAAGAAAAAAGAAGAAACAAGAGTACCGACTTCAGTTTCGCGAGAAAGGAAACATCGCGGCGCGTCGAAATCGCTCGGCTCGAAATGTGCCTGGATTGAATTGTTGTGGAGACGCGAAAATGGCAAAATGGCAAAACGGTGAATATTGCACCAACGTGCATTGTCAATCCAATAGCGTTGGATTTCGATCGATACGTACGTGGTACCACCATGATGGCGTCTCGATGAGACTCGCGTCGTCGTTTCTTCCCAGCCAATCTGCAGGAAGGCCGAAAAAGGGTTGAAAGAGAAGATCCATCGATCCGCAGGATGGAACCCATATCGCGTCTCGTTGGGAACCTGCTCTTTCTTCCTCTCGTTATTGCTACAAACGTGATAGCGCGAGAGGGGTCAGAACCCGTTTGGAGGGCGGAATTGCGAGGGGGATTTCCAGGAGGGAGATGACCGTGATGGTGAAATACACACACACATATATACAGAGAGAGGGGTTGTTGGAAGGCACGCCCGGAGGGTGGTATTGCACGATGGTAACCGACCGGGCTTGGATCACCGGATGACGTCATTGCTGCGTTACCAGGATACCAAAGATCAAAGACCAATGAAAACGTCACCTTCTCCTAACTCTACGAGCTATCTCTGAGAGGTCGAAGTCGACCTAATAATAGATTCTATTTTTCTCTCTCTTCTTATTTCCTCCGAGTGTTGAAGACCGTTTCTTCTCGATCTCGCTGACTGTTGTGCTTATGATAATGATGCCTCTGTCTTCGTTACCGATCGCTATCTTCGCACGACGACGACGACGACGACGTCATCGCCAGGGTATCGTCGTAGATTACGTGGCGGCCGCTGATATTTTATTTATACCTGTTACCCAGGTATATCAGCAGAGTCCAAACGATTTCTGCCCCAACGAATAATCTGTGACAATTATCATCCTGCGTTGTACATTTTCGCCTAAATTTTTCAAGGCGATCCTTCACGCCCTTCGATCACCACACGTACGGTCGATCGATTTATTACGTTAATTTCCGCCCCGTGAAATAAGCTACTTCCATCAAGGTCACAAAAATAGTTTTTATTTTTTATTGGAATTTTCTGAACCGTGTGACTGCCTGATTGTTTCTTCAGTCGCCGACAGATAAAATGAAGTTGAATTCCTTTCGTTAAGTGAAACCTAACCTAAACCAGTTACCTGCGTTCGACGTGTATACTCGTCGTGTAAAGTAAACAAATTTACCATTTACTTTAAGAACTCCAAGATTCAGTAACAAGTGATAAAAATGTCATTTGGTTTTCTTTGTATTATATCAATATTTTATTAAAAAATAATACAAATTATTGTGTATTTTATAAAAAAAAAGATTTGAAAAATATCACACTGAAATCAACTGTGAATTTCTTTCCTTCGATTTTCTTTTGTTCGATGAATTTTATTATTATTTTATAATATTATTAATAATACAGTGAATTTCTTGAAAAAAATATTTCTTTCCTTCGATTTCTCTTGTTCGATGAATTTTATTATTATTTTATAATATTATTAATAACATAACAATAAGAATAATAATATTATTTTTGACAATTTTCAAGTTCTTAATTTTTCATGGAATAAAAATGTAATCCTTCCTCGGTTTGCTTCACATTTTTTCTTTTTTTTTTTCAGTATAAAATTTATAACAGCATTTGCCCAGCGTCCGACGTGTACATTTTCGAAACTAAATTCCGCAGCTAATTGGTGAAAAATTCGTCCCTGAAGAGGTTAAACTTCGACCTTGCAACAGCTGAGACGTTTTTCGCCGGATTGGAAGCTCCCTCGAGAAAACTCTCTCTCTCTCTCTCTATAGTTCACTCACGAAGAGTGATTTATATTTTCGGTATCACGGATCGATGACTTTTCGACACGATTCTTCTACTCTCTACTAATTTCCGTGGACACGAAAATTACTTTCTTTCGACACGCGGAACATCCATCGGAGCAGTTTAATTTGTCGGCCAAGATTCGTTGAATTTGTTCCGAAAATTCTATCTATCGACATGTAGCTACTTCCTCTTTCTCAGACCGGCGTCATTAAAACGTTCTAACTAGATGGTACTACCGCATGGGTAGAAAAGAAACACGCCGTAGTTAATAGATCCTAAATGATTCCCTTCGTTCGGGAGCAAACAGTACCCCGAAAGTTCTAATCTCTCTGCCAAATAATCTCCTTGCATAGCTTCACAGTTTAAGAAATTTCGTTTCCCAACGCCCGGCAAGCGGTCTCGGTGACCGTTGCCTCCATGAACCTTTCTTACCACGAGGAATTCAAGTCGCAACACAGAAAGCAATTACGAAAATTTTGCAGCCTTCCAATACGTGCTCAGGTCAGAATCGGCCAGGCCGAGAGGCCAGGTACCATTTCAAGGTTTCACACTTTCGTCAAGGTAACAACGGTAAACATTCTTCGAACAATTAAGGGATTCGCCCGTTCGCCAAGCTTTGCAACAGACGCGCAGGCCTGATGAGAAATTGCACTGCATATTTTATTTTATTATCCTCGAAATCCGTAAGTATATTTGCAAGTGTGCATTTCGGCTTGCTAATGACATTGGGAGACAAAGCGCGTTTTGTGACTTCAGGTAACGAACATTTTCGGGACGAGAAGCAATTGAAGAATATTTTGCGAATTTCAATGTCCCCGGTAGTTCCATCGTAAGAAAGGAACGAATGTTATGCGTGCAAACGATGAAGGGGATCTGAATGGGTACGGTCGTTCGTACGGGGAAACAAAGACACTCTTAATACGGGTAAGCGTAGATTGCTGTCCGCCATCGAGCCCGGTACCAGTACGCACGCCCGAGGAATCTCGAAGGACTGACTGACGAGCGTGAACCATAACCGTAGTAGCTCTTTGCACGCATTCTATGAAAAAATGCAAAGAAAAAGAAAAAAAGAAATAATTCCTCCGTCCGTTTGCTTTCTCTTCGTATTTTACACTCCGCGGATTGGCTATTTTCTGAACATAGTTTATATCGAGAAGGTGGGATTTCGTAAAAAATCATCGTTACAGCTATTCGTGATAAAAAAAAAGAGAAAAAAAACTGATCTTCTAGATAGGAAATTCGAGCGTTAATTCTCCTCTCGTTGCCAAAATGGAAAAATGGCCTTCGTCTGGCAACCTAACGGGACCCAGCAGCAGTCTGTCCGCAGTTAGGCATGAAGAAACAATGAGCCCGCAA